TGAATTTAGGACCTTTGTAACCCAGATCTGTCAAACCACAATCCTTTAATTGGTCATTGAACCATCTGATTCTTTTGCTGTTAACACAGCCTCCGCCCACACGTTCTGAAGCTTCAGCAATATCATTAAAGTCTCCAATCACACTCCATGGTTCTACGATACTCTGGGCCAACAATTTCAATTCTTCCCAAAGTGTCTGACGGAGGTTCGAGTGTGGTATTGCAGAGATAGCAGTTATCAGACACGCTGGTTTCCCTGAGAACTCACATCTTAAGTGCAGCATTTGTTTGTTGTTGCTAAGAATTAAGATTCGGACTAACTCACTCTTCCAGACCACAACCAATCCTCCTGAACGACCGGTGCTCAGAACAGCAAAGAGACTATCGAAACCCAAGGAATAAATGCAACGCAACTTTGAATCCCTCTCACATTTTGTTTCAGAAAGTATTAGGACCGAAGGCGTTAACTTGCCAAAAATAGTCCTTAAGTTTCTGTTGAGGCCTTGACCGCATGCCCCTCTAACATTCCAATATAATACTTGATCCATAAACATAAATTGGGTATGTCCAGTTAAGCACGGCCCACTCCAGCTTAGAACTGCGTTTCAGGCACCACAAAGGTTTCACGTTGGCTCTCTCCGCCTCGTCACTCAATGGGCTAGGTATCCTCGGCCCACTATGCTCAGGCCTATTTCCTTCCTCCCTCTCTACTCTATCTCCCGGATCATGAGGAAGTGGATCAAAATTACTGATGTAATCCATCTGCTCCTCCTCACTATTACCATGCTCGATATTATCGTCCCCATCAGCGTCTAGTTTACGTTTGACAGGGTTCTCATTTTTCGTGTCATCCAGCATCAACATGAGTATCTCGTTAGTTCTCTTGTGATTCACAAACATCTCATGAGATCTCTTTTCTCTCTTCCCCTGCTCAACCCGTTGTTCTGCTCGCTGTAACGCTCTGTCAGGAATTCCCATTAGGACACCTCAGTGGGCAAACCGTTATTCTTGGCTTGCTTTTGCTCTGCGCAGCCTTTTTGCCCCGCGCGTACCATATGCTGGTAGTGGCTACATTTGCAAAAGTGCATTCCCCATATCCGACGTTGCAGGTAAAGCATTATCTTCTATTTCTTTCGTTAATTCAAAATTATTATTATCCATGTCAGCCAAAACCTCAAACCTCGTCCCGGAGTTCGGTTGCCAAAGACTTTCCCCTGCTTTCTCCTTTCCCCTTCGCTATCGTCGGGGCTTCTGCACCACTCTCCATATCTCTTGATCACTGCCCCTTTTGTCATCAATGTCCATCCCTGTTTTTTGTGCACCCAAATCACCGTCATTCTGGCTCCCTCTCTGATGCTCCGTGTTCTGCTTTCTTGCACTGCAAGTCTCGCTACAGTGCCCATAAACCCTGCAGTGCAGACACAGTGAATGGAGTCCTTCATATTCCAAGTAGTAGTCCTCACCGTCTAAAGAAAACTCCGACATCAGTTGTTTACCCAAATCAATCATCACACAAATCCGAGCATAGTGCCCTCTAAGTTGAGAGGATGTGTTAAAATCAACTTTTATCGTCTCTCCAATCCTATTTCCAATACAAGTGAGAGCCTCCTCATCATAATACTCTAGAGATACCCTCGGTAACCGTACCCAAACTGCCACTTTATCTATTTTAGCTCTCGCCGGATTAAACTTTGGTTCCCATGGCCTCACTGTCAAATAGTGATCATATATCATCCATGGACCTCCTGTTAATGCATTGAAATAATCCTCTCGATTTGATAGTTTGACTACAAAGTAACCGTAGCCAATGTTGATCAAGTTTATTATTCCACGCTTCACCCATAGTGTCTGGAGTCTAGCTTCTAAAGCTTTGAAGTCAATGCTGTGGTCTAAGAGCTTCACAATCACCGCTTTCTTCCAAGCCTGATACAGTCTCTTCTTCATCCTACTTGAGAAATGGAATGTAGGAAAATTCCTTTGTGGATCTTCCCTTATTCGCACCAAGGGCTCTTTCTTACTAGCTTTGGAATCCGAATGCAAATCTTCAGACATACTATCGTCAGATACAGCATCCTCTTCTTCCTTTTCGTCATCCGAATGATCATCCTGATGATTGACACCTTTCAGAGTTTCTGCAAAAGTTAACCCGAACTTCTTGGATTGGACAGGAGTCTTCCCAAGTTTTGGCCATTGATTCAGATCTGAGCAATCACCCTTCTCCATTCCATGTTTAATCTTTTTTGAGCTTCGCATCATTAAATCATTTTCCTCAGTAGACGGAGGAATGAGTGTCACACTCTTCCCAGCAGGAACGAGAGCCATTTACTAGAGCAAAGCCTAATAGGCCAGAATGGCGGATTCCTATTTGCATTTAGGACCAAACGATTTTTCAAAACAAAGCTGATGACTAAGAAAATATTCACATTTGTACCAAAAAAAAAAGAAGAAAATATTCACATTGGAGCAATACAAGAAATATTAAAAGATGGAGTATTAGAAGCTCCAAATCCAACTTTTGGCTGTGTGTTTGTCATCATGTTCCCAAAACATAAACATATGTGTGTTTTTTTAATTTACTATACATAGCAACTTAATTAGAAGATAGTAATAACTTTTCTCTTAGTTATGCAAGGTTGTAGAGGATGGCTTTTAAATCCAGAGTCGATGACATGGAGCCACAAGTTTGCTATAATAAAAAAATATTTGTAAAAATAATTACTCTAAATAAAATAAATTCTCCATGTAATGGAATTGTTATTTTCTATTGTAGATTTGAAATTTTCTATTTCAGACTTATTATTTTTTATTGCAGGCTTGTAATTCCTTATTCTAGACTTGTTATTCTCTATTACAGACTTGTAATTTTCCATTTCATATTTGTAATTTGCTATTTTAAATTTATTATTTTTTATTGTAGACTTTTTATTTTTTATTTCAGACTTGTAATTTCTTATTTTAGATTTGTTATTTCTTATTACAGATTTGTAATTTCCTATTTTAAAGTTGTAACTTCTTGTTTCAGACTTGTAACTCCTTAAAAGTCCACAATAGGGGATAATAAATCTAGAATAGGAAATTACAAGTTTATAATAGGAAATTACAAATCTACAATAGGAAATAACAACTCCATTTTAGACTTGTAATTTGCTATTTCAAATTTGTTATTTTCTATTGTAAACTTGTTATTTCCTATTCCAGACTTGTAATTTCTTGTTAAAGACTTGTTATTTTCTATTACAGATCTGTAATTTTCTATTTCAAACTTGTAACTCTCTATTTTAAACTTGTAATTACCTATTTTACTAAACAACCATTTGCCCAAGGAGATATGCAACCATTTTTAATTTATTTGTTAACAATTTTACTAAATATATAATGAGAATAACTTATAAAATGAAAATGACTATTTGCATAATGATTTTTGGAACTTGTATTAAGACATTTGCATATTGTTCTACAAAACAAGTTATGGGAATAACAACTTGCATACTACTATTGTCATTTAATAGTGAAATGTGAAAATGATGACAACTCAAACTAAAACATTAAACAATCATAAATCCCAATGTCATTTCAGTCATATATAACTATCATTAATAGTTCATAACAGTGGCTACTCATCAACAAAATAAAAAATATTAAACCTATCTTAAATGCAGTAACAGTATGTATGATGTATCCACATTTCTCTATTAAAACTATCTACCGAAACTTCCTCCTTCTTTTTTGGTCTTCCATCCCTTATCAACTCCTGTAAGTTAAGTATGGCAAATAACAAGTTAAGGATATTAAATAACAACTTAACTATTCTAAATAACAAGTTGAGTTTAGTAAATGACAACTTAAATATTACATATAACAAGTATATTAAATAACAATTTAGCTATTGCAAATAACAAGTTGAATTTAGAAAATTACAACTTAAATATAATATATGACAAGTTAAGTATACCAAATTAGATCATAACAGTACTATACTCACAGGCTCACAGCACAGGAAAACAACCCCTATCAAATCGACAAGCCAGTTTTTTTTTTTGTTTGACCGGAATCGACAAGCCAGTTAACAGCAAGAATAATAAGGCTAGTAGGATAAGGAATTTATGATTAAGAAGTAGACAATTTCCAAGAAACAATAAGATCAAGCATAGCATATCAAACTGAGATGTCAAGAATCATGTCTATGAAAACACACTAGAGATTAGCGAGGGATGGGACATGGATAGTAAAAAAAAAACTGACTTGTTTGATTTCAGAGAGAAGGAAAGTGTCAGAAACATATCCAATAGATATTAGATAAGTCTGACATAGAAAAAAGTGGCAAAGAATACCCCAAATGCAAAAAGCATCTGCCATTGGTTTTGAAGATTTCAGCACGTCAACTTTAATGCTATCATCCACCATACTCAATCGAGTCACCTATCTGCTAGTGCTATTTAACCATTGTTTTACGCTTCACACAGCACCTTCAAGAACGTCCCAGAGTCAAGTAACCAATCTCATGCCCACGCCAAGGTCGAAGAAGAGGCGACGGTTGGAGATGAGGTTAAAGCGGCAAGCAACAACAGAACCAAATGAAATCTTTGTGTCCTCTCTCCTGTCCGGCGGCTTTGTCTCTTCTCTTAACTTCAAGCGCGACCTCCAAAAAAAGAACAGAAACGGAAGATGACACGGAAGACAGAAAATAAGAAGGGTTTTTTGATCTTTTAGGTTTAATTTTATAATTTTAATTTAAGACTCAGTCTCTGATGACAATGTCATCAACTCAAGTACCCATTTCACCATTTCATATATTCAATGATCTTTATTTGTCATTTTTCCTTATGATACCAAACACAAATTAATTTCTAATTTTAGTAAAATATTCAAATAATAACTATTTTTTTCATAAAATCTGTAAATAATTTGAAAATTACTTATTTTTAAAACTTAAAAGTAAACGGACAACTATCAACAAGGCCTCTTTCTTTGAGCCAGCTTTTGCACTTTTGTTTTGGTATCTGTATCTTAACGATATCATTTTTGGATTATTAAACTCAGTGCGAACAAGCTCCGTACGAGAATAAGCAAAAAGGGCAAGAAATTTAAGTAGCCAGTCCCCAAAAGAAAATTGCAGCACAGCTATTCACAGCTGAGCGGCAATCTGAAGTGAAGGGGAGCCGAGAGTTATCAAGGGAAGTGCATATATACATAGGGTCACATGCAGCATCTCAGAAAGCACTTCGGATGTTTTAAAGAGCGCAATACGAGTCACCAAGGTAAGTATTTTTAACTGATGAAGGTCTCGAAGCATATGCTCACAGGACCATGAGATCTGTAGACAAGGAAAAATGTTACGAGGAGCCATTCAATCATCATACTACGGTGTTAAGGTTTTCTTTCCGGGAAAATCTGGACAGAAAGGGACGATGAGTACATGTGCATCCTAGTTCCTGCGCACTAAGACGCCAAATTTACATGAATGTTACTTAAACCTGTAGCATGAGAGAGAATGCAGACAGCAGACATCATTGAATTCGATGCTCACACCTTTATTTAGTTATCTCTAAACACTCGAGCAAAATTTCCAAGTATTTAGGAGCAATATTTCGATGGCTGTTCAAGATCCTAATGTTACCTGTAACCACGATTACACTCAATGGTCCATCCTAATCATTCAGATCTGAAATAAGTCGTGATCCTCTTTCCTTTGTGCGGTTATCTGCCATGAGGGTGTTTCTCTTTATTCTGACAATTCCTTGAAGCGATACTGCATGTCGAGTCTTTCAACAGTACTTTGGCTCAGAACGTCTTTCAAATGCAACTCCTTCAAAAGCTTGGCAGCCATATCCATTTCTCCTTCGAAAGCAAGCCCTTCAATAAGAATGGTGTATGTTGTCTCATTAGGCATGCACCCTTTTTCTATCATCCTCTGAAACATCTCCACAGACAAGTCTGTTCTTCGAGACTTGCAGAGACCAAGTATAAGTGCATTATAGTTATCGGTATCAGGCCTGTACTCATTTTCTTCCAAAACCCTGAATATCTCAATGGCCTCATCCAACATGGCCTCTCTACACATTCCTCTAATCAGAGATGAATAAGTATAAGAGTCTGGAGTAAATCCATACTTCGTCATTTCATATAGTAGCTGAAAAGCTGGATACGTGTTCCCCTTCCTGCACAAACTTGAAATGACAGTTTGGTAGAAATCATGCATGGGGGAATTATGTTTATTACCCAAGCTTTGGATTATGAAGAATGCATCTTGTATCTTCCCCACCTCACAAAGCATCGCAATAGCATTGTATGTCCCTTCATTAGGATTACAATGCCGAAGTACCATTTGTTCCAGACACTGAACTACAAGATCCACCTTCCCTTCATTACAGAGGCGGGCAATGATCGGATTATAGCTGGCTGCAGTTGCCTTGAATCCGCTCCTTGTCATTTCATCTAAAACCTTGAAAGCATGTTCAGTTTTTCCATGGAGGGAAAGAGAAGTAATTAATATGTTATAGGTAACAACAGAGGGAGGCTGATTATTTCCATGCATCTCAGCTAAAAGCTCATTTCCCTCCTCCCACCTCCCTTCGTAGCACAAACTCCTCAGCAAAATGTTATAACTCACAACACTAGGATCAAACCCCTTTGCTGGCAATTCCCTGAAAAGCTTAATAGCTTCTTCTGTCCGTCCTTCCTTGCATAAACCTGTCAACACAACATTGTAACTCACTAAATTGGGCTTCCCGCCCTTGGCAATTATTTCATCTAGAAGTTTCCTGGCTTCATCAGATCCCCTTTCCTTATAAGCAGCTTCAAGTAAAAAAGAATAAGTGAATACATTTGGAACCAACCCCTTCTTTGTTAATCGATCTAGAAGTTGCAAGCTTTGATTTAAACTCCCATGCATGCACAGCCCTTTAACTAGAGTGTTATAGGTAACAGTATTAGTTGGGAAACCACGTTCCTCCATTCTTTCAACTAATTGCATTGCATACCCAACATTACCTCTCTTGCATAGATAATTGACCAAGTATGTGTAGGAAGCCGCATCAGGTATAATACCTGACCCTACCATCATCTCCATTACCCTGACAGATTTCCTCATTTTGTTAGCCTTGCAAAGATCATACAACAGCTGAGTTGCTTGAGTTACATCAGGCTTGTGGCCTTTGCCTACCATATGCTCTAGATGGAGGAATGCATTATTAACTCTAAGCTCCTTGCTTCTGGGGTCGTTCTTCCCAATCCTCCAATCCGGCAGAGTAAAAACAGTATCTTTAGGAGAAATAGCTATCTGGGTATATGACAAAACCCTAGGAAAACCCCTGTAGAGTGAAAGGGCATGAATGTTTGGAATCAGGGAGTGAAAGCTAGAACCATTCCTTTTCGTTTTGGATGACAGATTTGCGGCTGGAGACACGGTATTCAGCAGCGCTGCCATGGTTGAATCCTAGCTAACATCCGTATGTAAAACAAAAACTCAAGGCTTTAGGTTAGTTCGACTAGGAAAAACTACAATCGGCTTCAAGATTGCAGAAAGTACTGATTAAAAAAAACAAAACGAAAGATCGAAAGAAAAGCAGATGAAAGAGGCAAGGAAGAAATGTCGAGTGGCTCTACAGTTAGGTCAGAGAAGAGAAGAACGAAGGAGAAAAGAGAGAGATACCAGCAAGCATTTCTCAATTGCCTCGGCTCTGTGATATCGCTCTGTCCCAACCACAACTCCCTCCTTAAGTTATCCGGAACGGTTAATGCCAATGGTCAATGTTCGCGTCTCCGATTCTCCATCGTTAGCAATTTCATTCAATTGCAACTGCTTCATTAGATTTTATACTTCCTCTATTTTTTTTTATAAACAACAACTTCCATATCTTTCTTATTTCTAAATATAAATAATATTTATAAGTTGTTTTAAATTTTCGTAACAAATTTTTTATTTTTCTTCCATAAATTACTTATTTTAATATTAATATATTTATTGTCTTATTTCTCAAACCATCGTCTTTCTCTATGACATATTTTTTTTTTTCATAATTCTTTTTATTATAATAATTTTTTTATTCTCTTTCTTATATCCCCTCCATAAATAAGGGTATTTTGAAAGAAGAACTTCTAATTTTTAACTATTTATTTTCTTTAGCTAATTTTTTTATTTATATAATGGAGTTATATGTTGTTTATAATAAAGGACGGAGGGAATGTATGAAAAAGATCTTGCAATAAAAAAAAGGGGTTAAAATGAATTTAGCATCCTGAGACATTTTTCCAGATACATCTAATATTCCAAAATATTTTATGGTGCATCTAGCACTTTAAAATATTTTATGATGCATCTAGCATTTTAAAATATTTTTTAGGTGCATCTAGCACTCAGAAATTTTTTTTTACCTTAGTGTTAGATACACTAAAAAATATTTTTGAGTGCTAATGCACTAAAAATACTTTATAATACTAAACACACTTAAAAAATGTCTTAAGGTGATAAATACACCACAAAATATTTTAAAATACAGATACACTTGACAAAATATTTTAAAATACTGGATACACCTTAATCATAAGTAAATACGTAACTAACCAGGGTTATAGAGAAATTCAACCTATACTCTTTCTCACAATTTGTGCCAACTCAACATGGCATTTTGACATTTTTTTTTGGGGAAATTGCAAATAAAGACCCCCCAATATATAAAATGGCAATCAGGGACCCTAAAATTGAAAAATTGCTCACAAGGACCCGGTCCCAATTTGCAATTATGAAATCATGGTCAAATTACCAAAATACCCCTCTTTAATTTTTTTTCAACAAAAAAAACCACTGCCTTGCCGGAATCCGGCCGCCGGCGCCGGAGTTCCGGCCACCGGAGCTCCGCCACCTCGACCGCCGGCCGCCGGAGCTCCGATGCCGGCGGCCAGCCGCCGGATTCCGCCATTGCCGGCGGCCTTCCTTTATTTTTTTTTTGAAACTGTTTTTTTTTTTTAAATTGGGGGGAAGTGAGGTTGGGGGGATTTGAGTCCCCAACCTCATGCTTCCCAAAATTAGGAATGACCATTGAGCCAACAAATTTTTGCTAACATTATAATACAAAAAAAATATAAGTTAACTCATTTACTCTTGTTCCAGGTGATAACAAGAATACATTTGAAAATAACAAGTTCTGATTATAAAATGACAAGTCTGGGATTAAAATTTAACAACACGTTTTTTTTTATAACAACACACTCTGTTTCAGGTGATAACAACAATACATTTGGAAATAACAAGTTCTGATTATAAAATAACAAGTCTGGGATTAAAATTTAACAACACAGTCTGTTGCAGGTGATAACAACAATACATTTGAAAATAACAAGTTCTGATTATAAAATAACAAGTCTGGGATTAAATTTAACAACACATTTTTTTTTATAACAACACACTCTTTTTCAGGTGATAACAACAATACATTTGGAAATAACAGGTTCTGATTATAAAATAACAAGTCTGGAATTAAAATTTAACAGCACCTTTTTTTTATATAACAACACATTTTATTCCAAGTGATAATAACAATACATTTAAAAATAACAAGTTCTGATTATAAAATAAGAAATCTAAAATTAAAATTTAACAACACATTTTTTATAACAATTAATTATTTTATACTTTTAAAAAATAAATTATTTATAACTTATAAAAAGTATTTTAAATCTATTTAATTTGCTAAAAAAATAATTTTTATCTCCAATTTATAATCAAAACTTGAAGTGTAATCTATTATAGATTAAAAATACTTTTTAATTGTTCAAATTTATAAATAAAATTTAGGGAAAATGACAACACACTTTTTTAATTTTTTTTAAAAAAATTTTAATCTATATATCTATACAACTCATTATAAATCAAACTACTTCTTATAAATTATAAATAGTACAATTTATTGTAGATTAAAAATACTTTTTGATTGCTTAAATTTATAAATGAAATTTATCTCTAATTTATAATTAAAAATACTAGTTTTTTTCTTTAAATATAAAAACTATTTTTAATATTTAAAGAATGAAATAGATATATAGATTAAAAATTTTTTTAAAAAATTAAAAAAGTGTGTTGTCATTTTCCCTAAATTTTATTTATAAATTTGAACAATAAAAAAGTATTTTTAATCTATAATAGATTACACTTCAAGTTTTGATTATAAATTGGAGATAAAAATTATTTTTTTAGCAAATTAAATAGATTTAAAATACTTTTTATAAGTTATAAATAATTTATTTTTCAAAAGTATAAAATAATTAATTGTTATAAAAAAATGTGTTGTTAAATTTTAATTTTAGATTTCTTATTTTATAATCAGAACTTGTTATTTTCAAATGTATTGTTGTTATCACTTGGAATAAATGTGTTGTTATATAAAAAAAAGGTGCTGTTAAATTTTAATTCCAGACTTGTTATTTTATAATCAGAACCTGTTATTTCCAAATGTATTGTTGTTATCACCTGAAAAAGAGTGTGTTGTTATAAAAAAAATTGTGTTGTTAAATTTTAATCCCAGACTTGTTATTTTATAATCAGAACTTGTTATTTTCAAATGTATTGTTGTTATCAACTGCAACAGAGTGTGTTGTTATAAAAAAAACGTGTTGTTAAATTTTAATCCCAGATTTGTTATTTTATAATCAGAACTTGTTATTTCCAAATGTATTGTTGTTATCACCTGAAACAGAGTGTGTTTATAAAAAAAAACGTGTTGTTAAATTTTAATCCCAGACTTGTTATTTTATAATCAAAACTTGTCATTTTCAAATGTATTCTTGTTATCACCTGGAACAAGAGTAATGAGTTAACTTATTTTTTTTTTTGTATTATAATGTTAGCAAAAATTTGTTGGCTCAATGGTCATTTCTAATTTTGGGAAGCATGAGGTTGGGGGATCAAATCCTCCCAACCTCACTTCCCCCCAATTAAAAAAAAAACAGTTTCAAAAAAAAAATAAAGGAAGGCCGCCGGCAATGGCCGGAATCCGGCGGCCGGCGGCCGGCATCGGAGCTCCGGCGGCCGGCGGCCGAGGTGGCGGAGCTCCGGTGGCCGGAACTCCGGCGCCGGCGGCGATTCCGCGAGGCAGTAGTTTTTTTTGTTGAAAAAAAATTAAAGAGGGGTATTTTGGTAATTTGGCCATGATTTCATAATTGCAAATTGGGACCGGGTCCTTGTGAGCAATTTTTCAATTTCAGGGTCCCTGATTGCCATTTTATATATTGGGGGGTCTTTATTTGCAATTTCCCCTTTTTTTTTCCCTGAAATCCGAGCTCCGAAGTTTAATTTGGCAATAAACAAAATCCTTGGAAGTCTTGTGATTATAGTAGTTTGATTTTTCTTACTGCCTTTTCACATTAAGCATACTGAGCATAATAACTTTATTAGTCTAGTGATCGCAAAAATATTTTATTTTGTTAAACCAATAATTCGATTTAATTTACATCAGTTTAACAAATAGAGCATCAGTCACATCAATTATCAAAACGGATAGTCTAAGGTTGTCTCAGAAAATTGCACAAGTCTAGAGCATGTAGCCATGTGGAAGATGATTTCAAGACAAATTAACTCGGATAAGTCACTGCCTCCAAAACAAAAGAGATATATGATACTTTGCATGTTATTGTGCCAGATTACTCTTAGACATCATTTTACAACTTCCACACTCAAAGGCTCTTGCATTTTTACCGACTAGGTGAAATATTTTTTTTCAATAGAAACCTAATTTTGATCGACAAGTTTTTTTCTCAAAAGTAATGTTGGCCGAAAATTTCTTTTGAATTTAATGTTATTCCAAAAACTTAAAAACATAGCAAGTTAACCTATTAGTTGATAAAGTTAATTTTGACCATTAAAAACATGTATCCACCTCAGCATAAATAGGTCTAGATATGGTCAAAATTAACTTTGTTAATGGATTGGAACAACATTGTTAAGTTATGAAATTTTGAGGATAATATTGCTCCTAAGTGAAAAATGTTCAAAGCAATATTAGACCTTAAATATAAGGCAAAATAAATTAAAATCTTATACTTAAAATTAAATTGCATTTTCAACTAACTTTTACATTAAAAAAACAGAGGTAGCATTTATATAATTAATATATATATATATATTTATATGCACCCTCAAAGTCTCAAACTATGGTTTTATGCTTAAGGAAAAAAAAATTCACTTATGGAAGACCATGATTTTATTATTTATACTCCCAAATCATGGTTTTCAATTCAAAAGCAATTTTGCAAAAAAAAAAAAATGATGTTTTGGATGGTTTTTATTCAAAACCATAATTTTAAGAAATACCTAGTATTTAAATAGAAACTAAATCATAATTTTACGATATACGAAATAAATATATATAATTTTATTTTGATTTAAATGAAAATGCTTTTAAAAAGTAAACACCCTATAAACCTATAAACCACAGACAAACCTATGACAATATGAAATAAATATGATTATTACCAAAGATATCTAATTTTTAATTTTTATAATTAAAGATTAGGTGGCTACGATTTTTGAATTAGAAATTCACATCTCATTTTTTTTACATACATTAAATATAGAATTTTGGTCCAAAAAATTAAATATAGAATTTAGTGTGTATTTTCTGGCCAAAAAAATTGTGTGCAAAGGAAAGGGTGCAATGCAGATAAATATCTCGCGTCTTCAATCTTCACTACGGCTGCTTCCTTGGGTGCATCTCT